GAAACAACACTAGGATCCTCATCTTTGTATCAGGCAGAGCTGGTTGCCAAACAGGTTGCATCTGGGAATTGTTGCACATGTCAAAGGAATGGGGAGTCCCTGATTATTAACTGGAAAGAAGCACCACTTCGCTCTCTTTCTGCTTGGAAATTCAAAGAACAAGAAGCTCCAAGGCAGAGTTGCAATGGAAAACAGAAATCTCTTGGCAAGTAGACCTGGTAACTTTTCCACGTTTCCATTGTTGGTACTTGGTACTCTGGTTTTTTATCAAGGATTACTATCATTAAAGAATTGCATTGCTCCTTTAAGAAATTCCCTGAACCAATATACTCCTCCTGAGCTCTTATAGTTGTCCTAATCCATCAACTTTACCTAATGATTTTCTATAACTAAAAGAATAACAATTGAAAATGAAAATTTTTTTTATGTTAAGTAAAAATATTCAACAAAAATTACATATAAAAAAATTTAATTATCATTTCTTTATTATTTTTTTGTTCCAAAATAACTGCATTTTTTTTACTTTGAATTTATCTCAAATTAATTATCTTTTTTTTTTTTTAATTTGTTAAGGTAGACAAATATTTTTTTTAATTTAACTATATCATTATTTATTTATTTTAATACCGAAAATCTGATTTTTATCTCTGAATCTTTTAGCTTTTTTTTTTTGTTAAGGTAGACAAATATTTTTTTTAGTTTAACTATATCATTATTTATTTATTTTAATACCGAAAATCTGATTTTTATCTCTGAATCTTTTAGCTTTTTATCAAGGATAATATAGGTAAATAATGAATTGTCCCCAAATACATAATTTGGAGAAAAAGTCGAAAAGGACCATTATTTTGATGCAAATAAAGTGTATAAAATTATTAAATTAAACTTATATAAAAGTTAAATTGAGATAATTAAATAAGACCAAATAAAGCATTTATTATATTTGAGTTCGAGAATGGTTTTGTTGGGACAGATTATACTTAAAAACATCATTTTGGGTATTAAAAAACAAAAATACCATTATTGAATCTTCATATATTTCCTAGTTCTTACTCAAAAAATATATTTTCGCATTTTCATACCAAATTTATATTTTATAGCGCTAAAAAACAACAGTAAAATAAAATAGGATAAATACCAAATTTAATTCTTAACTTTATCCATAAATATTAAATATTGTCCCAACCTTTCATATAAACTCGAAATGATCTCAAATTTTTTAAAAATTATCCAATCTAATCCTACCATTAGCTATTTTCGTTAAAAATTCGTAATAAAAAATCCTAATTAAAATTTTGAAAAGCTATTAGAGAAAAAACCCCTAAACTATTATTTTTTTAAACGCCAAACATACATTTTTTTTTTTTTAACATCACTG